ACCAGCAATGGGGAGGAAAAATGAAGAAGCCTAACGAAAAATCTTTGACACATGAAGAAAAATGAGAAGATACTATTTTATATCCATGCTAAGAAAACCAAGTATCCTGAGACACTACATATAACTTATCAGTACTGTGAACAATTTGTGCTCTGAAATTTTCTTACCTTGAAGACTTGAACAACTGACTATTAGTGATATATTCTCTAGCAGGATAAAAGAGACATGCTAAAGATGAAGTTGTGTGGTGGTGGGGGGGGGGGGGGATTAGAAATCCCTTCCTGGTTGGTCCTCTAGGTTATGCTGTAGCAAATTACCCAGGGGAATTCAGAGAAAATGTAGCTCAAGAGGTTTTCTCCTTCAAATATGCCCATACTGTGTCATAGATTAAAAACAACTTATCTATTAACAGCAATATGAACTTATTTATTTTTTTAAAAGAGAAGATGCAATAGTATCTCTTGAAGCATGAGGCGGTAACATATGAGAGAAAATAAGATTAATTAAACTAGGAAATTTTAAGGCCAATCAATCAAAAATAAGTGCTGTTCCAAATCAATTATAAAATTATCACAATACATTCACAAGAAAATAAAGTTATTAAGTACAAACAAATAAAAGTCATCAGCGTTTAGCAACACGTTTTATATTTTGAACCACCCTGTATATGGACATGGGCACATGTGTGTTTTCCACAAAATGGTGTGTTTTCAGTCTGTTTATGCTAAATGTGTGGTACTTCACTTACTCCACAGTAGGACCAGACAAAACAGACCAAGATTTTTTCCCCCCAGATGGTATTTGTGAACCCCTGTATCCCATTCACATAAACACAGAATGTTCCGGTTTGCTGAGTTACATATACATGCTGTGACTCAGTACAAAGTCTGAATGTTTAGTTAGCTAGAAGTCTGCTTCCATTCTGTGATTCATGAGGTCCCCCTGGTACCGCTATTTCCTTTATTTTATGCAATCACAAATTATATTAGTTTGTCCTATTTTGATAACCCTTATAATTGAAGTTCTGCACGAGAAATTTTATGACTATTTTAAAACATACTCATAAACTATTACTGAGGTGGCATAAGTGACACCTCACAGAACTGGTGATTAGGATTGAGCAGGGCCTTGTATGAGCTCCTTCTACCAGGTTAACTGACAAGTTAAAAAGTATTAGAAGTAGGAGGGGAGTGGAAAAGCAGGGATAGACAACTCAGCGCATGCTGACCAAGATGGGAGATTTAAGCAATCAATTTGCACACATATAAATTTGTTACTAATTTTTACAATTAAAGATTATTACCATGACCCTGAAAAACTGATTCTGATATGAAAACAGTACAACAAATTGAATAGCTTAGTCCTTACCTGTAAACTAATATACTGAATTTCTGATATAATTTTGAAATGAAATGTAATTATATTCTAAGCATAAAATGAAGAGACCCTCTGACAAGTAACTTTGAATAAACAGAAAATAAAAGCACCTATACAGTCATCAGAAATTATGGCAGCTTGGAATGTGAAAGGATATTATAATTAATAGCATTATAGGAGCAATTCATTTATTGATGCTGCAATACTGAGTATAGTTCCAGTATAGATCTCATTGCTCTGGGTACTGCTGCCACTATATTGGCTCAATACAAAACAAAGACTGAACACTATTTTCCCTTTTGCCTATTTTGTAAAAGTCAAAATACTCTTCAGATTTCTTCAGGTTAGTGGAAACAGGTAGGTCTTTAGTAAAAGTGAAGTGGTAGAACACAAACTTTCAAAAAGCAGGGGATGCCTATATGTACAGGGTGTCCCAAAAATGCATACATACTTTGAATAATTACTAATCCCAATGGGTTAAATCTGAAAAGGAAACATCAATTGAGCTATCCACTGTTAAAGTATATATGTATTTTTGGGGATACCCTATCTTATATCACACATAAAAATTAGCCCAAAATGTCTTAAAGACTTAAATGTAAGACCCGAAACTATAAAATTCCCAGAAGAAAACATGGGAAAAACTCTTTGACATTGGTCTTGCCCATGATTTTTTTTTTTCCTGGATATGACACTAAAAACACAAGTAACAAAAGCAAAAAATAAACAACTAAAACTTTATCAAATTAAAAAGCTACTGCAAGCAAAAGTAATAATAAAATGAAAAAGCAACCTATGAAATGGGAGAAAATATTAGTAAACCAAATATTTGATAAGGGGTTAATATCTAAAATATATAAGGACCTGATAAACTCTATAGTAAAAGAAAATAAAAAAGAAATAATTTTAACACTTGCAAAGGATGGGTATCAGGAAGCCCCAATTCTGGTTCCAACTCCACCACTTACAAAGCCTGTATCTTTGGGCAAATCATCTTTCTTCACTTGGCCATTCAAATTAGGAATAACAATATCCTCACTGAGATTTAATAATAACCAAATAAAACATACATGAAAACATTATAAAGTTTTTTTTAAAAAAAATAAGAAAAGGATCTGATAGACATTTTTCTTAAGAATTTATACAGCTGGCCAACAGGTATAGGAAAAGATGCTAAACATCACTTATCATCATAGAAATTCAGATCAAAATCACAATGAGATATCAATCTTTGCATGTTAGGTAGCTATTATTAAAAAAAAAAAAAAAAAAAAAAAAAAAGACATAAGTTAGCAAGTGGTGGTGGGATGTCGAGAAGAAGGAATCCTTGTAGGATGTTAATAGAAATGTAAGTTGGAAAACAGTATGGAGGTTTCTCAAAATATTAAATATAGAACTACCATTTCCCTCTAGTCTCCATGTTTTCTAATGAGATTTCAGCTATGTTTCAAATCATTGTTCCCTTATCATAAAAAATCTGGCTACTTTCAGATTTACATCATGTCTTTAGTATTCAGTAGTTGGAACATGCATTTTGGGGGATTACCCTTTTTAGAGTGGGCTCAGCTTCTTGAATCTGTAGATTTACATATTTCGGAAGTTTTCAGTCATGATATGATTATTGAGAAAACCATTTACAATAGCACCAAAGAAGATTATACTTAGGAATCAATCTAACAAGAAATACATGAAGCCTATAGAAGAAAAATGTTACAACACTCATGAAAGACCCAAAAGTAGTCTTGAAAAAAATGTTAAGACAGTTCCTATTCTTAAATTGACTCAACACTATAAAGATGTAGTTCTCTCTAAATTTATGAATTCATGCAATCTCAATAAAAATACCAATAAGCTATTTTATGAATCTACAAAGTTTAATATAACATTCACTTGGAAAAATAAACATACAAGAAATGCCAGGAGCATATTGAGAAAGAAAAATTACAAGGTAAGACTAGCTGTAAACAATCTTTAAACTATACTATAAAATTGGTATAATTAAAAATGTCATATTAGCACATGTATAGACAATTTAAGCAATGGCACAGAATACAAAATTAGAAATATACTCTAAAGCATATATACTAATTTAGAGTATCATAAAGGAAATATCTTAAATGCATCAAAAAGATTAGATCCATAGCTTACACAATAACAAAAATAATTTATAGATGAACTAGGAGTCTAAATATTAAAAAGGAAAGTCATACAAGTACTAGAAGACAAAATTGAATGATTATCTCTTTAAACGTGGTATAAAGAAAAGCCTTTCTAACTATGATTCTAAATCCAAAGGAAATAAATGATTAATTTACTTTAATCTGTTAAAATAACAAGTAGAAAGAAAACTGATCCACTCTAAGGATTTATTATTAACATATACCATAAACAAAGGACTAATATTTCTAATATATACCAACTGAAAACCAGATAGAAAAATGGGGAAAGAACATGACAGTGCTTTTCACTGGTACAATTTGAGCAATAAAAATAACTAATATTACTGCATAATACCCTAAATATAAAATTGAAATATATTTTAGTCCATCTATATGTTAAAATTAAATAAATATGTGGTGATAAAGAATGGCTATTCATTTAAGGATAATAGAAATTAAAAAAACAGAAAAGGAAAGAAGTAAATAGAAAACCACTATTAGGTAAATATCTATATATATAAAAGGCTAATATACAAAGTGTCCCCTCGGGAATTTAACCGGAAGACCAGTTGGAGACAGCTATGGATGTGTGCTGACCACCAGAGGGCAGCATGGAAAGAAGGACCCCAGCTAGCAGCCGGAAGTCCCTGATCGGCCCTGATCTCCGGCCAGGCCTAGGGATCTTACCTGTGTACACATTTTGTGTACCGAGCATCTAGTATGGTAATAATTGTCTTAAAATACACTGATGAATGCTAAAATTTATGGACAAACATAAACCTGTTTATGTTTAATAAACATAATATAATACCCTTAGAAAGACCCCTAACTTTTATTAATATCGATAAGTTACTTTTTTTTCATTTTGTTCTTAATAAATATCTTAGGGGAAATATTTGGTGACCATGCAAATATTCTTTTTATCTTGAATTGGCTCCTGGAAGAGAATAGGGACATTATGAGAAAAAAAGATGAAATTCAAATAAGGTTGATAATTGTATTAACAGTATTATGCCCCTATTACTTCCTGGTTTTATAACTGTACTATAGTTATGTCAGATGTTAAGAGATGGCATTGAAGAGTATTTAGGAATTCTCTGTACTATTCTATTTATACAATATTTTGATGTCTAAAATTCAAAATAAAAAGGATTTAAAAATAGTACTGGAAAAACTATGCTTACATAGTGATAGAATACAGATTATAAAAGTTATTTCCAGGGCTCAGAGGGTAAGTGAAAAAACTGATTTATACAGGTGACCTGTGGGAACTTTTATGGATGATGAAAATGTCTACATATCTTGATTGTGTTGGTAGTCACATAAAAATAAGTCATCAAAACTGGTAAAATTTTGCTACATGTAAACTGTAACTCAATAAAACTGACAAAAAATTCCAAATGCAATCCCAACATAAGCAGAATGCAGAGGAGAGATAACAAATGAGATTATATATGTTCTTACCAGATTAATTAACTGAGTGTGTACCACATCTTCTACCAAAACTGCTGTTTCATGAAGAGGCCTCCTAGAATCACCTAAAGAAAACCTGCAAAAAATAAAAAATTAATCACACCAGTATCAAGACTTACAAAGCTAAGAATGGAGAAGGTGACACCCTTCAATATTTACTACAATTATCTGTTTAATAAAGTACAATTGTTTTCTCAAGTTACAGAGTAGTGTTATAGTTTCTTATGGACAATGAATTGCATCTCTCTTACATCAAGTGAAAGCAGTGTTATCTATCCTAATTTTTGATTTGTGTAAAATTTTTAAGGGTATTTACTTTTTCAAAATGTAAAATATTAACAACCATTTAACACTGATAATCAGAAAAATCATATCACCTCCAAATTGCCAATACAGAAATACAATATAGTAGCCATACAGAAAATTATAATAGCATATAAAATAATTAAAATAAAAACTGCTAAGAAAAATTTATGTAAATGTTATAAATTACCATTTTAAAGTATATACAAGCCAATTATTAAGAATAAACTATAAAACTGTTCTTAAAAGTCCTATTCTCGATTTTCAAGTGGCGGATCAGATGTGCAGATAGTCACTTCCTGGTAGAACACATTTGAAAGTGCTAAATACTATATTAAAAACTAATATTTCAACAGTAGAAAAAACAAAACAGAAGTCAGACATAATGACAAAATACAGTTCCACAGGCTAAGTAGGAGACCCTGCAGCAAAAATTTATTCCTAGCATCCGATAACCTAGACTTCATCTAGCATGGTACTCAAGATATAGGACAGAATGACAGGAAACCAAGCAAGGTAGGTCAGTTTGCAGAACCTAATATGGAGAAAAGTTGAGAAAACTAACACCCAGATGGTGATAACTTCATGTGTGAACTAGGAAATACCCATTCCACAGAAGGCACTTTGCCTATATCACCCGAGGCTATCAATGAAGAAAAAAAAAGTAGTATTCTCCTAAATATAAAAAGATGAAAAATAAATCCTTACATATATGCTCAATTGATTTTCCATAAGAGTGGAAACAACACCTAATTGGGAAAGGACAGTCTTTTCAATAATTGGTGTGAGGAAATGAACTCAAAATAGATCAAAGACTCAAAGTAAAGAGCTAAAACTGTAAAACTCTTAGAATAGAGGGGAAATTTTTCATGACCTTGGATTTGGCAATGGTTTCCTAAGTATGGCACCAAAAGCTCAGGCAACAAAAGAAAAAAATACATTGGACTACATCAAAACAAAATCCTTTTATTTATCTGACACTATTCAGAGAACTTTTTGTTGTGTTCACTGATATATTCAGTATTGAATTCTTTGAGCTACATGAACAAAGTTTTGCTCCTATTTTTTTAAAATTTACTTCAAATCTCACTATAGAAAAAGTAAACAAAACAAAAAAATCATCCTGAAGTGTTTGACTAAAAGATAAACAACAAATTCAATAAATAACTCTAATAATAAAAAGAACATTTTAAAAACACATTAATTGGATTTTTTTAACATGTTCTTTTCACAAAAGATTTAAATTAAATTTGTTGTTTTATCTTTTAGTCAATTAGATTGTTTTAGCCAAGTGAATTGTTATAACTTGAGCAGTAAAAATAAATAATGATGTTATTGCATAATATGCTAAAAATTAAACTTAAATATAGATTAGTCCACATACACATACACACACACACAAATAAAATAGTATTCAGTGATAAAAAAGAATGAAATTTTGCCATTTGCAACAAAATAGCCTTGAAGGCAATTATGCTAAGTGAAATCAGAAAGAGAAAGACAAATACTATATGATCGCACTTATATTTGGAATATGAAAAAAAAAATAAAGTTGACAGATACAGAGAACAGATTGGTTGTTGGGTGGAAAATGTGTCTAGGAACTCCACAGGTACAAACGTCCAGCTATAAAATAAATAAGCCCTGAGATATAATGTACAAGATGATGATTATTAATAATACTGCATTGCTTTTTTAAATCTTGTTAAGAGAGATCTTAAAAGTCTTTGTCACAAAAAAATATATTTTTTGTAACTATGTATGGTGACAGATAGCTAGACCTGATGTGGTAATCATTTCTCAGTATACACAAATATTGAATCATTATTTTGTACACCTGAAACTAATAATACGTCAATTTTACTTCAATTTAAATAAAAAAACGTGCCTTTTCAGATAATTTTTAAATCCTAAAAATATCTGTCTTCAAGAATTATTTTAAAGTTGTATTTTACAAAAGTCACTTTTATAAGAAAATTCTTATGAGAAATTAAGTTGTACCAAATTGAGTAATTGGATACCAATTAAGAAATTGAGAAAAGATGAAGGTTTTTATATGAATAACATTGAAAAAGATGAATAAAAATAAATGCAGGAAGGGTAGTAAGGACACAACTTATTTTTTGTTTCTATATGTGAAAATATTCTATTTCCCTTAAAGAATTTTTTTTTTAAAGTGTTTGCATTTTTGGATTTTGTCAAAAGATTTTATATTATTGTTTTTCAGTGTATTTAATGGGGTCCACTTTGGGTTTAAGATAGTTTGTTTTCAAATTGTCAAGCCCTGTTTAAGAATAGAGTGAAGGACTGAAAAGGATTCTATAATAAAGGAGATCTTTTCACAATGCATACATATACCAAGTCCTCATATTGTACACTTTAAATAGCTTACAATTTTATTAGTCAACTAGAGGCCTGATGCATGGAAATTCATGCAAGAGTAGGCCTTACTTCCCCCAGATCCCAGAAACCAGGCTGCTGACACTGGCTTTCCTTGGGCACCTGGAACCAGGACTTTCCTCCTCCGGCCACCTGCAGGCTGGCTTCACCCAGGCCACCCACAGGCACCCAGGGACTGGGTTGGCTTCTCCTCTCCCCCCTCTTACCACCCTCCCCCCCGCCCGCCACCCCAGCTTTGTCCAGAATGACATCCAGTCTAATTAGCATAGTATCCTTTTATTATTATAGATTATACCTCAATAAAGCTGATTGAATTTTAATGGAAAATAGATTCTGAAAAAGAAGCCAAGAGGGTAACTTTGATAAAAATCTGTGGCAAAGAACCTGCTGGTCCTGTCAGGAAGAATGCAAGGCCCACAAGCAGACCTGCTCATAAAGCATCTATGAACTCACCAAAAAGAAAGGACAAAGAGACATTTCTTTACTGCCAGGTATTCATCTTCTTGGATGCTGAGCTGCTTTCAGTACTTACAACTGGCTACGAACTCTAATGTGGTTAACTTATTCTGGATGCTGTGGTTAAGTAAATTGCTGTGGTCTTGGGAGTTACTTTTTTTTTTTATTACTTCTGTTTTTGGACATTTTTCTACCTCAGGTAACTGACATTACTTTGAATGGACACCAAGTGACTACTGCTTATTGTAAGAAGGTTCTAGGTGCCTTTCTGTCCCCAAAAGAAAGTTTCATTTTTCCCTTCAAACAATTTATTTGATTATACTTTATAAACTAGGTATTACTATAATATCCAGGAATTTCTCCTAACTAGAATTAGAGTGAATAGCAGGCTACAGCCCTCACTACACTCTTGTCAGCTAACCTGGCACTAGACAGCACTTGCAAACACAGACATCATACTGCTTATGTCATTCTTACCCAATATCTGTTGAGAATGATTTACCCACTGTTCAAAGGGGTGGGTAGTGCATAAGATTGCTATGATCATTCATTTAAGGCAACCAGACAATTAAAACACATGCAAATTATCCTTACTCTTCAATTTTTATCACCTCTAACTTCCATATACCTCAATGATTTTATCTATTTTTCAAAGTAAGAAATTAATTCAATGGTTTTGAAAAAGTCAAAGTGATAAGTAAATTAAAATATCAAATGAATACCTAGGATAACAGTTTTTCTAGCAAGTAGATATAAATGTAGAAAAATATAAGAAAAGAGTATAAAATTATCATTCATGGTCTATAAAATTTATAATATACCAGTGTGAAAAATACATATATATTTGTATAAAGTAAAATGAAAGTTAAGACCAGTTAAAACTTGGAAAAAACACTATATAACTTATTGATATTAAGTACCTAGTATGTTTCAGGCACACTTGCCATTACTTAGGATCATCAATGAACAAAACACATTAAACAAAAGACAAAAAGAGTAGAATTTGCATTCCAATGAGGAAAGGATATAAAAATCAATATAATTAATACAATAAATTACTAAAGAAGTGATGTATATGTTAAAAATATAACATAAGATAAAGGAAAACAGAATCAGGAGATGGGCAGTGTGGGATAGGGAAAGGGAGGCAGTGTGAAATATTAAAATAATCATGTATTAATCTTTGATGTGTGAGAGAAATAGCTTTTAACAAATGAGAAGAAAACATAAATTAGACTATCTTGCAAAAACCAGATTTACCTAGGAAAGTTCACCTAGAATTATCATAGCATAAGACATGAAAATGTGCATATTAGGAAGTTTACACAAATGACATATGCATATGAATTTCGTCTTACAATTCAGAGCAATTTCCTCTTATATCTTATATTCCCAAGAAGCAAATATCCCCATATTCAAACTGTAATAAGTAACAGCATAAAGCAAATTATTCCTTATTAGAGGAATAAAAAGATAATGAATGAATGGTAAGCCAGGGATAGAGTAAAAAGATTTACTTCATTTATCTTATTTTAATAAGAAAAAAAATGAAGGTCAAGAAAATTAAATAACCATCTTACGGTCACAAATCTAATTAAAGGCTAGAAATAATCTTCTGCAATTCTATGTTAAATGAGCAAAAACTAACAAGTTAGATACATTATTCTTAGATGCTTACTTACCAAAGATTAACAAAATAATATAAAGTCTGGTTCAACTACTTTGCATAACTAATTTCTAAGTCTTACAGTGCGGAAACTTTTTAGTTTGATGTAGCTATTTATTTGTTTTTGCTTTTATTTTCTTTGCCCTAGAAGACATACTTAAAAAAATTTTAAGATCAATGTCTAAGAGTTTATTGTTTATTTTTTTTTCTAGAAGTTTTATGGTTTCAGATCTTACAATTAGAGTCTAACC